CTGATTCTCTCCCTCTGCTGGAGGAAGCCACTGTGAGAGCGGCTTCCTGGTTGTTTTGGCTGGCTGGAGTTAAACCACAACTTCCCAAATGCAAACTCTTTGAAAGAGAACAGACCATCTTGCTACAACCCTTCTGATTCTTCTGGTTAAGGCCGTGAGGTATTTTAAATCGCTCATTACATTCACCTCTTACAAAGTCCAATGCTTTCCTGAGTCGCTGTAACACCATCATCTCAAAAAGCACAAGCTGGAAAACTCACCTAAGATCTCAATCTATGGAAAAGACCCACAGGGAATGCACGTATGGAATAAATCAAAATACAAACAGATATATTTGGCTTTTTTGCTATAATGAGAACTAGGCAACTGTGTGACCATGGAAACCAGCGCAGACTACTCCTTTTGCCAATGCACAGGAAATTCAGCCTGTGCTTGCAAAACTTCATTTCTGCCTTCCTTGCTATGGGAATAGCAAAGTGTCCTCCCTGCACAGCACTACTACCCTGGATTTCCAAGCAACTAGAAACCAGGTGACATATTCTAACAGACTTGGAAATATTAAGATGTCAAGTGGTGACCAACCACCTCTGAACACATCAAGGGAGAAAAACAAACTGGAAGACCAGTTTCCAGTTTGTCCTGCTCCCTCAAGACAGCAATACATGCCTTTCACCTCTAAGGTCTCTTCCCACATCCCTACAGCTGGGGAGCAGCCGGAGCCCGAGGGTAAACCTACACCACAAAGGTCCCAGACGTGAATTCCCGACGGCAGGGTCCTCGGAGACACGGGACTTTGCATCACTTTCCATACTCTGGTGGCAAAGACATCCAGCACTGGAAGAAAAACCCTGCTGTTAATTATGGTGTAGTTCATACTGAGTTCTCTTCTGTAAGTGATCTGCTAAGCCCATAATTCCAGTGGCTGCTCTACCCTCCCTGCAATTCATGACAGATATTAGACTCCAGAAGCAGAAGATCTTTTGGTGTGTGGCCATCTCCCACTTCTTCAGCTTAAGCTGGAAGGAAATTCCACCTACCCCTTTGCCATTCTGATGGTTGCTGACACATGTGGTGATTTCCAACACAGAACCTTTATAGGTGAGAATAGCATTTTGCTTGCAGACCCTAGAGTTTAACAATTCCAGGGACTGACTCAGGCCCAAGTCAGATGCTAACTATCTTTTTTAAACAGAAGGCCGTGCAGAGGAAAAGCCTTTTTGCTGGAGTCCGTGACACATTTCTGAGATCTGAAAGTGAGGCATATCTTGACAGACATGCTCTCCCAAGAAGTAACTGTACAGAGACCTGGAAAGCAGCTGGCTAGGGAGGAGGTTACGGAATTTGATTGGAAGAGCCAAGCCTCATCCCTGCAAGCACCAGCTGCCAGCAGTGAAAGTGCTCCAGCTACAGAAGGGACTTGAGGAGAAGCCAAGAGATTTCATATTGTACCTCCACCAAAGAAACCAACCCATTACTTTGGTGATGTTGAGTGTGGCTGGGGACGGATGCAAACAGTTTCCTCCACAGGGACAGCTGGTGCTTTCCAAGTGCCTCAGAATACCTAAATTATCAAACTTTTTCCTCCCCTTTTTTCTTTTTGGCCGTAGAGATGCAAAAACTCTTGCTTTCAAATGGAAATGTGAACTGTACGCATCTCCATGCGGCACTTATGTTCTTCAGAAATGTAAGATCCCCTCTGTTTCAAGTGGAAGCTCACAACCCTTAAACATGAGGCCCACAGTTACCATTCATATCTCATGCCAAGAGCCACGTGGCTATTGATCCATAGAGCCACCTGCAACATTTAGGGCTGGTAAGCAGTGATATCAGAGCTGAGGAGACTGGCCTACAAATTAAGATATGGAAGTTAGTGTAAATATCCATAGGATGCCAAAAAGGGGCTGGTAACTGGCAAACTTCCTCTGGACACTTCATACAGAATATATGTTTTTGCCAAGTAAATACCATTTTTCCAGGGCTGTTTTTGATGTTGCTTCTTTCTTGATTTTGTCTCAACCTTGGCTTGAAGCCCTGCAAAGACGCTTAGTAACAGCAGTCTGCTCTCTTTGATATTGGTGCCAGAGGAGCAGGCATCTGCCAGAGCAATCTAGATGCCTCCCCAAGTCCCTCGCTGGTAAGCACTGGAAGGTGTCCAGGAGCTAAGGTGGGCTGCACGCTCACAAGCACGTGCAATTCTCGTTGGATTACCTCCTCTGTAGTCACCAGGGCATCAGCCCTGGCATATAGCATGGTCCAACAGGGTCCAAGGGGAGTGGGGCAAGTGCCTGCAGCATCAGAATGAGACAGAGCAGGAATTGCAGAGAAGAAGGAATTGCATTTTCTCTGACAATCGTCATGAGAGCCACGACCAGGTGAAAAAGCCAACTGGATTGGCGACAGCTCTTGCCAGATTTAGAAGAGAGCCTAGATCTGAACTAGGCATGAACAGTGCATCTACAGCCTAGTGCATTTCTCAGGGAGACCACTAAGTCAAGAAAGGGGAGAAGAGCATGTGCTACCATCCCCCTGAGGCCTACAGCTACAGCAGTAATTCAGGTCCTCAGTTTCTTCTACACACGCACTGCTCCCAGACACCCAGTCCTATCAACCACCCCAACATTTCCCCACTGCTCAAGGACGCAGGCGAGCTAACAAACCTGGGGTGCAGAGGGTGACTCAGGGGCAGGTCTGCCCCTTCTCAGCACACAGGGAACATTGGCTTCATTTGTCACACTCAAACACAAAATGATGGCAAGGGTCAAGCCAGGAGGCTTGCACTTATTCATAAAGACTGACCACGGTCCTGACACAAATTTTCAGACAAACCTTCTACCCCTAAAAAAAAGATGAGACTTTAATAATAAGCAGCTTACTCTACCTACCTAGCAATCTGCTAGTATTTCCACATTGACTAGTACGTTAAGCAGCTCTGGCACCCCAAGTAAATAGGGATGGAGTGAGCTGAACCAGTGCCTGTGCCTGTGTACGACCCAGTGGACTCTGCAGCCCAAAGAATCTGGATGCGCTGGGAAACACAATACCATAAAAATGTATGTCAGCACAAGAATAAGAAAGTCACATTCGCATCCTTTTCAAGAGAATGTGGACCTGCAGTTATCTTCCTGGTCCTCTGTCATCTTTTTCATTAAAGCACCAAATTCTGTTAAGCATTCCTCCTTCAAATGGCGGGTGCAGAGATACAATTTGGCTCAGCTGGAAAGTATCCCACAGCTCAGGGCAGGGTCTCACACGTGGTTACTGCTATGCATTTGTTTCTGCAGTTCACCAAACTGCTATCTCCGTATGTTTCCTTCATACCTTCGCCAAACTAGTACAGTATATAACATTCTGCTATTCCTGTGGGACCCTCCCAGGAAATCATGTGCTCTGTAAAGTTAAAGCAAGAGCAAATTAAAACCCAGTAAGAAAACAAACTGAGAAACTAGTCTGGAACTACAAAATGCACCATCATGAGCATCTTTGCATAAGACAAGTACGCTCCAATGTGGCCTTTTCACAATCAGCCTGTGATGCATCCACACTGATAAAGTCAAGGGATTGTCATAAAAGTCCAAATTCATACAGCTCCAACAGTATGGGAAGAACCAAAGAAACCCTGCTAGTTAAGGATAAAAATGCTGAAAAATAACCCAATATAGATAGGAATTACATAACTAGAGTTACTTGAATGCCTCCAGTGCCAGAGCTGGGGTGGAGAAATTCAAACGCAGTTAAGGAGTACTAGTAGGGAGGGGGTCAGGGTCCACAGCTCTCCTAACATACAAAAATTTCACCTCGTGCATTTTACCAGCAGAAGAAATGCACACTCCAGTGCTTGGATCCAGAGGTCACCCCTGTGAATCCTCCTGCAAGTACAGCCCCAGTATTTGGTTAGGGGATAGTTCTGTTAATGACCTCAAGTCATCAGGACACTGAAGTTCAGTGTGACTCAAACTGCCCAAGACTCTCACAACTGTGTGTAAAGAGTACAGGAGGATGAAAGCCTGTGCTTCTCTTACCCACATGCCCCAGCTCCTGCATCACTGGCTGCAGGTCCGGGAAGGTTTCATGGACATTGCACAGCAGCTGACAGATCTTGATGGTGGGGAGAGACTTCTCCTGGGCTGTGCTCAGAGCTGCTTTCAAGGAGGCCTCTGAACTTTCCTTCTGAGCAGAAATACTCAGTAGCTGGAGAAGTAAAAAGAAAACATCACATGACAGAGATTTTGGGTTGTGAAAGGTCGGGATGGTCTGGGAGTGAGGGCACATCACTCTACTTTGTTTCATCTCTACTGCTGGGAATCTGCTTTTAGAAACCAGAAAAGAAATCCCTTTCCATACAGGTCTTTGACCCTCCACTGATGTATGTGCAGGATCCAAGAGAATTTCAAAATTCAAAAAACGTTACAACAAATTAAATTCTCAGACTTTCTGTTTTGGTATTAGTTCACGTAAAACCACCTTTCCATGGAAAGAGAGGTTCCTCAACGCCTTACAGCATTACAAGCTTACCTAACTCAAACTTCACAACTCTCTGGGCTTTTCTCACCCTTCCAAATCCAAAACCGCTCAGCCAGCCACTGCAGGGAGAACCAAGGCAAGGATCTGTGCATGCCCACATGTACCTCACCTGCCCACAGGTCTAGCAGCAACTAACCTACTAAGAGTAGGAATGAACAACTGCAGACTGCGTGGTGGAAAAGGCTTGTTACTAACTAAACCCAGCCTATTTTCCTTGTCAAAAAGAAAACAGACAAGGCAGCCTGAAGGCTACACAATCATAGCATCCTCAGTGCATTTTCTAGGAGCATTTCATTCTCATATGTCCTGGAAAAACCAACTCAAATGGAAAAGCACTCCCTGGCAGCTCTGCTTTCCCTAGGATTCCATCATCCTTACAGAGCTAAACACAGCAGAACTGTTTCAAACACACACATTTTCACCAGCTGAGAATCTCACTGACAATTTCTTTTTCCTAAAAACTCCTGTAGAATTTATATGAAACACCCAATACACTCTCACTTTAGCAGATGGGCACCTCCAACTTTGGATGTCTTCCCCAACCTAAGTAATGTCCCTTGATTTCAGTGCACTCCAGGGCCTGTCTATCCTTTGAGCCTGAACCATGCCAGCTCCAACAGCATGCCCTCATACCTCTTTTACTGCTTCTGTGAGTCCTGCCTCCCCCGGAGCCAAGCCTTCCAGGTCCACTCTCTGCTGGATGGCCTACGAGATCAGCTTGCTGTGCCTCAGGATGATCTCAATGGCTGTGCTCTCACTGATGGCCACTGAGTATGAAAATAAAAAGGAAAGGTACTTAAAAACACAAAACCCAAGCAGAACCTAAAAGGCCTTAGCTTTGCATAGCTTTGTCCAGCCTACTCCTGAAGTTGAACTGTTACCAGCAGCAGTGACTTCTCTGGGGGGCAGGAAGCAGCAAACAACTACGAGCAAGCTTTGTTTATACTAACTGTAGCACTGACATCCAGCATAAAACCCTAGCAGACATCCCGTTCTCACTGCTTGTCCAACTTTGGGTGAGAAGGTCAGGTTTTCCAAATCATGTTGCTGAAATAGACAACCTGACAACCTCAAAAGGCAGGTATGGTTCTCCCAAGACTCAGGATTTCTTCTCTCCCCAATTATAAACATCCTATTCTGAGTTTTGCAGAGAAACAGGCATTTCTAGGGACAATTTCTTCATCCAAGGACAGTCATGTAAAAAGCAGCTGGATACACCATGTGCTAGAAGTGCTGGTTGCTCCAGGCTGAACAGGGTGGGGTTGGAGGAGTGTGGATGGGGGCAGCTACACCACAGGCAGGTGAACCCCAGCTTTGTGCCCACAGGGCCAGCACAAACAGCTGGGCTCTGCGCAGCCTACATCTCCTGCCCCCCAAGACCAGCCTGGGTACTCCTCACACTAGCATGAGATTTTTGGGGAAAAGCACATTTTAGGCTTTAAAGTAGGAAAACTCAAAGCCAGAGGCCAAGGCTCTGGGGAGGACAGGGTGGTGGCTGCAGACAGACCTCCGGTGAAACCTGTGCTTTCAGTCTGGTCTGCATCCTTTTGCGCAGGTTGGTGGCCAGCTCTCAAAAGGTTTGCTCATCACAAAACCTGAAGGCGCAGAACCACAAGCAAAGCAGCCACGCTTGTGGACAAAAGTGCTTTTCTAACCAATTAACCGTTTCACTGAGGACACTCATGTTGAGACCCATTGGAAGAGAAGAGGTTCCTGGCTACGTAGAGGGTGAGAAGTTAGAAAGCAGCTCCTGCCAGCAGTAGGAGCACAGAGACAGCTGGTGGGACACTAAGGACATTACCTGCTTGGAAGAAAACATCTGCGCCAGGTTGTTTCCAGATCTCCTCCATGAGCAGGGTCAGTGGTGCAGGTTTCTGCAAAGCCAGCAGCAGCTGCCAAACGGCAGAGACAGACAAAGACCGCTCCTCCAGTGTCGCTGACACGAGGGATGCGAAACCGCCAGCCTCACGCTTCACAGCCTGCTCCATCGCCTTGGAAAGACCTACAGTGAGGCACTAACAAGGGACCATGTCCATCTGCCCTGCATCATGCTTAACCATGACCATGGCTCACCCCAGACCCTTGAACCCTGGCTCACAGTGCAACACAAGTGGTGACCACTTGGAAGCCAAGCTCTTCATCTGAACCCATCAGCCATTTCCTCACCTCACTCTGAAGCTGAGCATCTCTCCTCGGTTCCCAAACGAGCCACTCTCACTTTCCAACCTTCAGTTTCATATACGTTACCTGCTTCACTCCTGCTATGGGACACTAAGGAATCAGTAACCCGAGGCTGCTGGAGGACTGCCCCAAACCAAGCCACGACAGGTAGTAACTCAAGTCCTCAGGACTTGATAGGGATCCCAGATGGGGATTAAAGCTCAGTATCTGCTTGCACACATGCAGAAGACTGCTTACCTCTCTCTCAGCAGGATCCAGGCTCTGTGCAGCAGAGATGCCCTGCAGCAGCATCTGCGTGTCTGTGAGGAGCTCCACTAAGTTATCTCGGTACCGTCTCAACAATTTGGTTCCATAATCATCTGTGCTCCATTTGGCTGAATGCAAGTGAATGAAAATAAGAACGGCTCAGCTTGCAGCATCTTCCCAAGGGGCTTCAGAGCTAAGGGAAACCAAAAAAGCCAAGGCAGCCAGTTCTCCCTGGGTCACTAACATTCAGGACACTTGGACTCACCTTCAAGTAGAGGATGAACACAACAAATCAAAACTTCTCCAAATCAAAGACAACACAGAATATCCTCTGAACACAGAATATACATGCCTACAGAAATAGATCTCTGGCACCCAAATGTCTTCTGAGTCTAAGTCCTGGTCTGAGCCTAGAAGATTCAGCAGGTAAACATGTGGCCTTGTCTGTGAACACAACACCTTGAGATGTTCATCAGACTGTACTGATGCCCTGGAATCAAGGAGACCCCGTTACTGTCCCTTAATTGTAGTTTCACTGAAAGAGGTCTGTTAGTGAGAGTCTTTGATCCACTCCACTGAGAAGGAGCTCTGCAACATGCTCCGTCTCAGCGGTGTATGACTATCAAACATACTAGCAGTTTACAAACACCCAGATGGTCCAAACTAATCGAGAATTTAGAGGGCTGGTGAAAATGTTAAGGGAACACAAACCAGACTTGTGACTGAGAATTTGCACTAGCACCTTCTTCCCTCCTTTACATAAAATAAAACCCAAACGCAATTTTAACCTCATCTTCCCTCCTCCCACATCTAATTCCAAGTTGGGCCTGCTGAGGTTTGCCCTGATGACTCTCAGAAATGATGACTCTAGAGTAACACCACAACCCTTTAAAGACACCCCAGTATCAGAACACAATGGACTAATTCAAGGAAGAGGAACAGTATTTGTTCAGGATAATGAAGAGACTTGGGCAAAACATACCGTGTACCAAAAGTAATATACATTTGTATCTGTTGCCAGATTACTTGATAAATAAAACCGGAAATTGCCAAATAGATGAATCTGAAAAGGACTTTCTTCACTACTGAAATTATTAAATTGGAGAAGATGCATAGTTATACTTTTGTAAGAGAAACCAAAACAAAAAACTGTAGTTCACCCAAGACACCTGTGCATGTGTTGTGTTTGTGTGCTTAGGTCTTTTAATCATTTTGGTTCAGTATCGAACAGAACAATCTATTGTTCACACAGAACTACTTGGGAGAAAAGCAGCCGAATACACACAGCCTGGTAAAAAGAAAATACAGTCTCTGGGACTCAGGAGACATACAGCTCTGGGTAAGATGAGAGTTCTCCAGGATGGTGAAGGAGGCAATGGCAGGCTGTGGGAATAATCAAGAGAGGATTCTTAAGCTAATATGAAAACTCCCTGGACAAAAAATTCTTGGAGACATGAGCCTAATCCCTGGCAAAGGGAACCCCATTAAGCACTTGAGCTCTATAGGGTTTAAGTATGACTTGGATGTGCCCTGTGTGGATCAGTGGATGGTTTACAAATAAAAATATTTCCCCTTTTCTCCCATCTGAATATTTCTGATTTTATTACGCACATTTGAGTTATGAATGCCGTCAGTCCTGCTGCCACACCAAGGTGAGGTCCACAACTAGAGCATGCCCTGCACCACTGTACAAGACGTCCTCTCTTCTATTAGCAGGACATCTATTAGCATGGGACATCAAAGGCTGCTGTCAGCAGCTCAAATCATGCCCTCCCTCTTCATTTCCATGATAAGAAATATTTGTGCTTCTGTTTGTTCAAGCTGCAATTTGAAGAGATTCAGCTCTATGTAATTAAGGAATGCTCCTCCTTGGAATAGGTATTACCACTAGATAATTAACCATGTTGGGAGTCTCGTGTTTCAAGAACGCAATCGTGCTTAACAAATGACCAAGGAAACTGCCTGTCGGGAATGTTTGCTCATAATGCAGATAATTTCCTCTGTAGCACAGTTTTGATTTCTATTAAACACTCATTTACGTTTCACTGCATGTTAATTTAGTTTTTAATTTTTATGTGACTTCAGAGCTGGTGAAATCTGCCTCTCTAGCTGAATTGCTCAGGGGTGTGCCTAAAACCACCCAAATTTGGAAGGTTGTCCACCAGTCAGAAGATGAGGACTCATGAGTCCCTGAACCACCACAGGCAGGCAACAACAATAAAAGAAACAAAAAGAAGGAGGGGACTATCTGTCCAAGATAGTGAGAGACACTCAGTGTGGGACTCTCATCAACACATGTGCTCTACACAGAAGACCACGAGTCAGTGACCACGATGTGCAGAAATACCACCTGAATCAAGGACAGGAGCACAGCCCATCTAAATTTTCCCCACAGTCTCCCTCAGTTACAAGGAATTCACAAAGAGAGCAGCCAGGTAAGACATTGTCTGTATTTAACGTTAAGACATATACAACTTTGGGGAAGTTTTACATATTTGCTTTCAAAGCCAGCAAGCACCATAAGCTGAAGTTGCCAATGGACTGCAGTTTGGTAAATGCCTTCACCTAGGAAGCATTTATTATGTGAAAAATGTTCTATTTCTTATGCTGACATATGTTGCTGCTGCTTTTAAGTGTCTCAGAGTAATTTGACACAGCAGGGAACAGTTCTGTTTTCCAGAGATGACATCCTAGTTTCTACCCTATCAGTATCAAACTCAAGGAAGGAGCCCAACCAGCCTCTGCCCCACACTGTTCATTTCATTGCAAAGCAGGGGCCTTCTTGCTGGCACAGTTCTGCTACCGCAGTGCTCCCAGGACATTTCTGTTGGAATAAAATAGTCATCACAGTAAGATTATAAGAGCACAGTGAAGTCCAGACAAGCATGCAAACTTCCTGGTAATTCCCTGAACTGAGCCCCCAGGCTCTGAAGTTTAGTACACCCATACCTTTGCCATCAGAGACATTGGCTGTTGCCACCAAGTCATCCAGCAGAAGGTGGAGACCAGGGAACGATGCTTTCACAGCCCCCAGAAGTCTGACCAAACTTCCCGCTTTCAGGGTTTTCTCCTCCTCCACCTTCCTGAGCAGACTGTCCATGGCTTCCCTCTCAGAGCCACTTCCACAGCAATCCAAAACTACCTGCGACAGAGAACCATACAAGAACCTGTTTGTGAGAGCTTCCTACAAACTCTTGGATCTGAATGGAGATCAGTATCACAGTAGAGAGTACTGCAATAAACCCATATCCACTGCTTCCACTAATTTGATTTACTGGGAGGTGTTATGAGATGCTAGTTACAGGAACATCTAAACACGTCCCAGGTACATCCGACATGTGTCACCTTGAAAACTACCCTGGTGGGTTCTTCCACCAAGCCACTTCTTGGAAGTGGCTGACAAGCAAAAAAACCTATTTTTTCAAAGGAAACAAAAACAGACTTAAAGACAGGGTTCAAAACAATATTTCATTTCACATTATTAGCTAATACTTTTTAAATTGGCAGTCTCTTTTCCCTCGTCTCCCCAGTTTTTCTGCTTGTCATCGAAAGACAGAGATAGACAGGAAAAAAAAAAGAACTCTGGTTATTTAAATAGGCATCCTATTAATTGAATGATTAGTTCTGTGACAAGGCCACATAAGACATCTATGCGAGATGAAATCACTGTAGCTTGGAAAAGCTCTGGTGTGTCAGTATAACACCTACAAGGCTCCTGCAAGGGAAAGCCAGTTTACAAATACAGGTTGACCTCCTCTCTGCACACGTTGTGTTCCTAAGCATTTGAAATGTAGGACTGGCAGAAACTGGGTGGGTCACCAGCCCAGTTCCCTGCTGTCATAAGCACTACACTACACAGTCCCATTAATAAAATGATTAAGATGAGTCCTAAAACCATTTACATTTTTGCTCCCCTTTTCCTGGTTGGAAAGCTCTTCCATAGCCTCATTCCCCTGTTGATTCTTCTAATTTTCAGCTTAAATTTATTCATGGCAGTGTATGCCCATTTGTTCATGTGCCAACATTTTAGCTTAAAATGCCTTCTAAACTCTCTAAGGTGTTTACCCTACCCTTCCTCTCCAATTTCTTTATAAAAGCATAATCATATTCCCTCTGACCCTACATACCACTTCTCTAAATAAAGCAGCTCCTCTCATAAAACAGCTTCTCCACTCCCCTGATCTTACAACTGCAGTTCTGTCTCTACTTCAATACAAATTCAACTTTTTTGAACAAGAGTGGAACTGCACAAAGAAATTTCAGATGAGGTCTTAATTCCTCGTTCTCACTACTGCACGCTCTCCACTTTACACTACGACATCATTCAGCTCCAACTACTTCGTTCTGCAGCCATGCAATTCTCCCTCTGGCGGACCCTCTTCTGGGTGGACAAAAGATCCCAGTTTTGCTCATCAGCCAAGTTTTGCTAAGCATGCTTTGATATTTTTGTATCAATAACATTAGTGTTAGGTGCCAAGAATCCCATGGTAACCTTGCTCCAACCTGTCAGTCTGGCCTTCAGCACAATCTGTAGTTATCTCACAATAAGATACATCCTTTTTTAATATCACCACTTCCTCTAGTTTTACAATCTCCTCACATGAAATTCAGATGCTTTGCTCAAGTCCAGATAGAGGCATAAAAACACATTTTTACCTCATCAAATAAAGATTCCAGGTCAGGCAGAAACAATTCACTTGAACACCTCTTGCTGCATTTTATCGCATTTCTTGCTCACACTCAGTGGTTCAGCTACATGCCAGTTTGTCCCTCCAGCTTGTCCCAAAACATATTCCTGTGCAAGCACAGAGCTGACTGCCTAGACAACTGCTTCCTTCCCTCACATGACTGTCCTGATCATCAACTGCAGGAACCACTCTCAACTTGGAAAATACAGTAATAAACCTTTCTTAGTGGAGAGGGTGGGGAGGCACTGGCACAGGTTGCCCAGAGAAGCTGTGGATGCCCCATCCCTGGAAGTGTCCAAGGCCAGGCTGGATGAGGCTTGGAGCAACCTGGTCTAGTGGAAGGTGTCCCTGCCCATGGCAGGGAGATTGGAACCAGATGGTCTTTAAGGTCCCTTCCAACCTAAACCATTCTGTGATTCTATGATTCCCATAGCCATGTGCGTCAGCTCCTCCAGTCTGCTGAGGGATGCCCTTGGATTTGTGGTTTCACTTCAGCTGCAGGAAGTCTGTTTCTGTGTCTCTCCCAGATCTGGGCTTGGGCTCAGTTGTGAGTCTGCAGGCCATCTTCTGTCATTATTCTTTTTCTTTACTTGGTCAGACAAATGTTTGCTGCTTGTCACAATCCAGGCTGTGATGCCCAGCAAGCCCCTCTTCATACCTCTAAAGTACATTTCCTTCTCAGTCAGACATTTCAGTCATTCCTTGCAGGTCCAAGTTATTCATTCACTCAGGTCTGTAACCTCTTATACAAATTCGCCTCTCTTGTTGAGGATGCAAACTTCAGACAGTTCTCCTACCTTTAACATAAAAGAAACTAATCCAACAGCTCCTTCTGTGCCCTTACAAGCAGCTGATCTCATTAATTAATTTCTCTAATTTCTAAAACTCTGTCCTTTTATAGCCAAAACACTATTAGTGAACCTGTTGGCATATCCTCCCATTGAATTCATGCTGAGCTGGCTCTGGATCACTCAGTCTGAAGTTATCTTCTGAGAGAACACAAAAAGGGGTACAAGAACAGCATTCTTCTGGGGAGCTCATGCTGTAACCACCACTGCTCCCAGGCAAGTCTGGACTGGCAGAGAAGTGATGGCCCTGGCAGTGCAACACTGACATTCTGAGATTCATTTTGAAACAAATCAGTCACAAAACATACACCTGTCTTTCTTCCAACAAGGTTTCTCCATCTCCCAGTGTGTCCAGGTAGGATTGCTCCTGCCATGGCCGGTAAACTTACTTGTGTTGTCATTCACAGCTGTCCCAGCCCCAAGGCAGTTTGGTTTCAACATCAAGCCATGTAGGCTCCTGAGCAGAAGGGGAGGAAAAGCACACAGCTCAAAATGCACAAGTTCCCTCTAGAAGAGAGCCCAGATAGAAGGAAAGGAGGGGGGTTTCCACCAACTACTCTGATGCTCTGGGTTCAGGGCTGTACTGTAGACAGGTCACTGAAAGCCAAGACAACCTAAAGCCATGGCACACCATGCACAAGAGGCTACCTGCTCTTCCTTTGTATCCAAGTTTATTTCTCTTAAACGAGAATCTGCACCCAAGCTATCCCCCAGATCCTTCACCTTACCTCCCCACATTACAGAAACACTAACAAAGCCTCAAAGTTAAGCACTCAGGAAATAGAAATGCTTAGGTAAAAAGTTCCCCAGAAAAACAGCTATTTACAAAGAATCTTCACAACACATCATGTACTGTTTTTTGAGCCAAGAAAATCAGATTTGCTTCATGCACAACATGGATCAGACACTGAAAGAACCCAGAAAAAAGGCTGTTACACGTACAATTCATGCTTCTCTTGCTGAATAAACATGTAGCTAATGAGGCAATGACTGCCAGAAGAAAAAGGAACGCCTCATCTTTATGAAACCTTGGAGAAGTAGATCCTGTATTTGCCAGCCCAGAGCTCTCATGCAACGTTGCAAGAATCAGGTAAGACAAAACCTTCAAAGGTGGCTGCTAATTCCATGTTCATCCTCCCAGTACTGCACCTGAGACACCAGAGATCTCAACTGCACATATGTCACAGGCCCATCGTTTTAATCCATTTAACTTCTGAAATAATTAAGCACTTTTCCACTTGTCTGTGGGGGGGGAAAAAAAAAACTCTAAAAAACGGACCACTCCCAAAGTGAGCCTACACTTGGCAATTTCTGTCTTACTTTCCTGTGCCAGAGCAGGGAAAAAGAAAGGCACCCAGCCTCACTTGAGTGCTCCCCAAATACAGTTGTTATTTGCTGGAAGCCTCTGGGCTAAAACAAGAGCACAAAGGGATCCCATAGAGAGGAGAAGGATTTTATATCACCGCAGTGTTTGGAGGCTCTGCAGCAAATGGAGCACACAGTGACTGAAAAAGATAAAAAGAAATATTGAACAACACTACCCCTTTACCAAACCAGGCAGGAGTCCCGTAGTATATGACGATGCAATTAAAGGCTAGATCCTGTGCCCAGGGGGCAGAATTATGATGGCAGAATGGTTTTGTTTCATTGCTGCATTTGGGTGTTTTTCAGTGGGAAGGAAGACAAAAAAAAGCTGCATTTTAACTACATAATTTCATGAAGACAAAAAACAAGAGTGCAGGGAAAACGTGAACAGGCATATATGAAAAATCCTGATCTCACCACTGTTGATGCAGCTTTCACAGCTTGGAGCTCAGCTCCAGGCACCCCCCCACAGGTCTCTGCTGACAGCCTGAATATCCCCAGCAGATGCTGAGTCCTCTGCTGTATTCACCCCCTTCCCCTCTCCTCCCACATCCCCATTCCAGGCTCAGGCATGCCACTTTCAGAGAGGAGAATTCACCAGCCGCCAGTCACACCCTACGGCAGATGTCGGTTGGCAGCACCTTCTCTGGCCTTCCTGCACTGAGCTGCACCCATACCCAGGGATGCTCCACAATGGACTCTTGGGTCAGGGACCGCATGCAAGTGAGCAAGACATTGCTGAGGGACTTACACGAAGGAAAGAGGATCTCAGCCCAACTGTCATGGCTCTGGTCAGGGTCATTCAGACAAAGCAAACATCATTCATGCCACCGAGCACAACAGTGCTTCCCACTCGATATAATCCTGTGTCAGGGGAACTAACTGACATGACAAACAGGAGGTCTGCAAGCTGTGTGCCAAACGCAGCATGCTAGGGGACCCTCCAAGTTTCAGCTGCACAGGCAGGGTATAGCCAGCTGCCCCCAAAACACACAAAAGAGCAGGTTATACATAGTATTTTGTCCATTACAGCTTCTGCAAATCAGCACACAATGCAATTGCTTACAGGAAACCAACTGTCCTCCCCACCAACTGCTGTATTAAACACAAAAAATTAATAATCAGTTAGTGGATGTGCTACTCTTGCAGGCAACTGTGTGCTAAGAGTTAAAAGAGTTAAAGCTGGGAGAGTCAGCTGGAAGGTAAGCCGATGACCGAGTACACAAGGATGTAACTGCTAGACAGGCAGCAGAGAGGTTTTAGGGGTTCTGAAACCGAACTCCACTACGGAGCCTTCTCTGGGCTCACACAAAGAGATTTTTCAGGGCCTACCAGGCGCTACCTCTGCAGGCAGGTCTGACCTGTACAGGCAGTGCTCATCCTGGCCTTGAGGCTGCCTTCGCAGCTCAGCTCTTAGTCCCACAGTTCAGCACAGAAGGACCTAAAACAACGCACAAGTGCAGTCCGTGCTGTGCAAAGGGGAGTTGAAATAGTGAGGCTGGCGCATCACTTGGCAAACCACTGCTAAGACAGTGCCTTGCAGACACACATCCCCCTCACTCACTCCTTATTTCAGATATTTTTTACCCGCTTCTCCGAGGCAGTCAGAAATCCCTCTTCTGCTGCCTCCAGGAACTCTACAATGGGGCTCAGCTGTGTCACGCTCTGGATCAGCTCCTCCCTGTGTCCCAGCAAGCGAGCAGTCAGCATCTCTCCCTCGTCTGTGCTCTCTGGGGGGAAAAGGATTCAGAAACACAGGAGAAGAAACAAGTCAGTCTGAAGGAACTGACAGGCTCCTGAAGCAAGTGAGACTCTCTGAAAGATCTAAGTGAATAGCAAAGCTCATCCCAAGCACAAGGAGCAGAGGAAAACCACTTTGCTATTCTCTTTAAACTCTATGAAAGGAAAACATCTCATTTATCTAACAGAGCACAAAGCCATAAAGCACGCTGGAGGTTAACATCAGGTTTGCAAGGCGACTGCTTTATGTCAGACTCAAGTAAGAAAGGAGCTTTCAGTCCTGAGGCTCAACTCACGCTGGCTGCACAGCCATCGGATCCAGCCCTCCAGGCAGCCATGGGGAGAGCCCTGCACTGCCTGCACCCCGCTGCCTCGGGACGGAAACACTGCAAGATCTTGGCCAGCACATGATAAACCTTCTGCATCCGAGTAGGGGTACAGGGCTTCTGGAGACCTGCTTTGCCTGTAAGGCTGCCCACTCACTCTTCCAGAGACTGCACCCACTTCTCTACCTGTTTGCTGCAGGGCTTCTCTGCTGCTCCCTTCTCTCTCCAGCAAAGCCCTTCTCAGCCGGGGATTTGCATCTTGAAACAGCTTCAGCAAAGACACGAGGGTCTGAGTGTCCTTCACTTTGCTCAGCAGCTTCTTGAACACCGACTGTTCCCCTGCTTCTGCCAGACAGGCAACCAGAGCCTGCAACAGAGCAGGCAAATGCAGGGAAGAATTTACTAACAAAGTCAACCACCCCATACAAACCAACACGAAAAGCGGAATCCTGGGGGTTTTGTTCAGGGGACAAAAAATTTAAACAAAAAAAAAAAAAATAGCCACATAGGTACACACCATTGAACTGAAGCTCTGGTCTGTGGCCACCACCCCACAAGCCCTCCCGCCAGCCCTTATCTTTACAGTGAGTCCTGCAAACTGGAACTAGCTCCAGCACCAAACATCACTTCTCTCCCTAACAGCCAAATGGCAATAAATCTGAGACCTAATGAAACATGGTTTAAACTCCGTTACTTTGGAAGCCCAAGGCTGGGGCAGGAGACACTAGATTTCACTGCAGAACAAGATCCCTTGCACAGAAAGTGGGGAGCAGTTTAAGTGGGACTTTCAAGAATCCCTCAAGTTACAACAGTCACATCCCCTAGCAGAAGCTTTGGAGAGGAGGCGCACAAGTGCTCAGCACTGTGGGCTCTCAGCATGCCTGGCAATCACGCCCAGAGCTCCAAAATCCACTCCAGAGACCCAAAACAGCAACCAGAGGCAAACATGGGCAGAGTTATGGAAATAAAAGGAAAAGAAATAAGCTGCAACTCTTGCTCCCATTTCCCCAGGGCCCTTTAATGCTGTAAATATTGCCCCTAAAGACACACACGCCCCAGCTCTCCAGGAGAGATGCCAGCCTTTCAGAGCAGGCGTCCTTTATTAGGGACTCCAGGGATGCTATAAAAGTACCTTTGAAGTGAAGAGCTTAGCCCAGCTCCAGAGAGAGCAGACATTTTCTGCCATCATTGTCTTTTTTATTGCTATGATAAAAAGACTGAATTCAACTGCTTGGGGCCACAACAGGGGGATGGTGGACTTGCTTTTCCTAGAAGGTGTAAATGCTCACATATTAGGGCAGTGTGACAGTGCAATGACCTATTGCAAAGAGTATCCACAGAAAGGAAGCTGCAGGAGTCCCAGCTCTTACCCACTAACGGCATTTTTCATGTGGAACAGACGTGGACATGAAGAGCCCTGTTATAAAGGAAGAAAGGAGATGCCGCAGATATGCTGAAGAACAAGTTAAGGTATTTTTTAATGCAAACATTAATTTGTAATGAGACTTGATAACCAGATCATGTTTGTTCTCAAGGTTTGCACTCCTGGCCCCTTCCAGATCAAACCGATCCTGTAAAACACATCTTGTCTAAAGGTGCTCAGTACCCTGCCAAATACATCTTTATACCAATAGGGATGAAGAGAAACTTGCATTATTGCAGTATTTTTTCCTTTTCTTTTTGTTTTTAATTAAAATCAGCACAGCATTGCTGCCCAGAGCTCCAGATAACATCCTTTCCTCAGTGCGTGGATTTGGTTAATGGAAATGAGTTTTCAGAAACTGAAGGGCTTTGTTATTTATAGTCTCCTTCTGGAAGATCTTTCCTTGGACATATCACTCAGTGGGAACAACAGCCTTTTAGCATTGTTTTGAAAGAACACACTTCAGACTTACTTTGAAGCACTAACAATTCCCAAAGATCCTGGAAGAAAATGAGAAATACTGATATTAGCTGGAATCCCAGCTTCCACTTAGCCATAATGTGCCCCCTCATTACAGCCTGATCCATTACACTTTCACTGCCTGGGACACTTGCAAAACCCTCCATGGCCAAACTGACACAGATTAGCACACATCCAGCTTCCAGATGGAGTGACAGACGGTCTCTCTGAACAGGGAAACAGTCACTAAGCTCTGGCCTAAGCTTCAGCTGTGCCACCAAATAGGTTCAATATCCACTGAGAAGCTTGGTCCCAGTTGGGGGTGTCAGTGCTGCTGGCCACATCACTCCTAACTCAGTATCCCAGTGGTCACACACCGTGAAGCAGCCCTCCCAGTTCATCGCAAACCTCCCCATTTCCAAGGCAGCCCCCAAGGCAAGGTCTGAACAGGAATCCCTGCAGGAAACAACGCAGGAGGCAGGTCTCCTATCGCTACATCATCTCCAGATCTTCCACATTTTTCCAGATTGCTTTCCCCATACATTCAATTACTACACTGCCATGTCCCTTCACCCCACCGCAGGACCTCTTGCTCTGCCCCATTGCTCCTTGTCTTCTGCTCCTTCCAATGCCACCTGCCACTTTAGATGGGAAGATACACAACACTGCTCACGCACAGCCACAACCTGCTCTTGAAACAGGGAAGAGCTGCGTTAGCACTGCGTCCTCCCAGCCAGGCACTGATCTCCCTCCTCACACCGACCCACAACACTCCGAAGAAGACAGTGCCTCTGGGACCCCCACTTCCCCTTCCAACATGATCGGAGGATTAGTTATTTTGAGCTGCGCAGGGATGCCCAAAGAGCAGCTGGGGGCTGGCCCTGCAGGCAGCAACCCCAAGCCTGGGCTGGGCTGAACTCAGCTGGTGTGCTGGTCTGGGACACAGAGAGGACTTCACCCAGATGGGCAAGTAATGCACACCCCACCCAGGACTGCAATGACCTGTGACTAACGAGGGATGTGGGGAGAGAGGGAGTGCCTCAATGCCACCTCCATTCCCCAAGGAGAGACGCACTGGCCATTCAGCGAGCGGCAAAGTCCCTGACTGCAGGAAGCTGGGTACCATGAGGAAACTTCCAGAGACATAGTCACCAGTTCTCTGTGAATGCAAGCTGCTTTGGGTTTTTTTACTGGTTAGTTTTTTTGTGCTTCATGTGAAGCAAACATTAAAAAGCCATTGGAAATCTGCACGGACAAAGCTGCTGCCCGCAGCGTTGGTGGCACGGACAGCACAGGGAGTGGCTCTACTCACATGGACCACAGAGAAGCCCCCAGGCTATGATAACTCCATGAAGTCAATCAACTATCACTGTGCATACAATAATCAGAAAAACTATGTTCCTATTTCTGCTTCAGAAATCTGAAGTGCTTTTTTTTAAGCCTGCATTTGTACATGACTGATGAGGGACACCCCAGTACTAGCAATGCTCCGTGGAGAACGCTGACCCCTGCTTGCTCCATGCAGCAGAAACAAAAATCTCAGACCAAACTTCCACACAAATATATCAGAACAGGGGGAAAAAAGTTATCCAGCTCTGTTACTATAAAATAAAACCCTCACAACCTATCACCCCTAATCAGGATGCAGAACATAATGGGAAACTTCTTTCTTCTGCCACATCCAGAAATCCCTGTAGCTGCAAACGAAGGATGACAAAAATTGGACAGGCCTGTAGGCGATGGAAGTGATCCACAAGCACAGTGACATTTATTCTATGCGGGAGAATGAACGCTCCCCCACTTCATCTGAACCCAGTAGTGGAGAGAACAAATGAGCTGTGCAATAATTTGAATTGAGTTTCTCTAAGAGAGCACAGGAAGATAAGACTTGACACCAGCAAAGCTCTTCTACGCTTCCCCAAATTACTGCAATTTCACTCTTGTTCTCATTTCCAAGCAGGTTTCATCCAGGCCAGAACCAAATTAGATAGGAATAGTTTATGAAACACACAGAGAGACTCTAAAACAAAAACAACCCCCAAAATCACACCTCCCTGAACAGAAAAGCAAATCATCCACCTTTTCAGCCCAGGGAGCAGAACGTAACATCAAACTTCGAGAGAAGCAACAATTCTCACAAAACCAAGCCCTGCACCACAAACCTGCTGGAGCAGTGCTCCACCTGACAGGAGCACTGTGGGGCATGTGGTGCCCACGCAGGGAGGATCTCACAAGCAAAGGAATAGAAATAGAGAGGCTACATCCAAGTCAAAATCCCACTGAAACCAGAAGAGCCTAAAGACCAGGACAGCCTTTGGTTTGCAAAACCCCCACAAACACCCGCAAGCATGCACAATGCCCAGGCTTTGCTGACAAAACCATGTCGCTGCTTGCCTATAAAGATAAGTGACCCACAAAAGGCTCCTGAGCAGAAGAATGTGCATGAGGGATGCGAGATCTCCTCTGTGCAGGGCAAGCACACCCAGCAAGACCGCTTAGTGCAAAGAAACAGCATCTCACCAGCTTCCAGACTGACTTTTACTTGCCCTGAGGCACCTAAGAGACTTCAGGCAAATTACTAGCAAAATAATACAAAAAAGGGAGTGGAGGAAAAAAAAAAAACCACAACCAAAAAAACCAGAGGGCAAGAAAAAGAAATCGGTTGACGTCTACCAGTGGCACAATCTCAGCCCTAATTACACATCCCAAGCTGGGCTCTTTGGAGCTGAACTTGCACCTTAAAAACACACACTGCTGTGTTTCCCCCAAAGAAAACGCTAAGCCCGTGTGGGGAAAAAGCTACTCCCTCTGCTGGAAACAGAATCCAGGCTCAGTGCTGGTGTGTACAGATCCTGCTTGTCCCAGAGGGGCGCTCAGAAAGGGATGCATCTGGCTGAGCCTTTGCTTACAACAAACTGCAGTCTGTCCACGCCACTGCCCTGGGGCTGACACTTTTCATGCTTGTCACAGCTGAGAAGTGATTTTTCAGGAAGGCTTAAAGAAAATCTATTTCTCATTTATTCAGCATTTATTTATAACTGCAGAAAAATTGTCCAGTTGCTGTTTTGCGGTCAGACACCCAAACTGTCTCTGAGCTCCACAACCTCTCACTTGGCTCCTGCTGCAGCAGCTCATTTGGGAGCATAAAGGTCTGGGCATCAGTCTGTGAGCCTCACCCACAGGGTCTTGGGAGGTGCTGAAGAAACATGAAACAACAGTTACTGCAAAGCAATAGAAATGAGGCTGTTATGCAGAGCAGAAGCAAGGCAGCACATCTGCCTGGGCACTTTGCAGATGCTGTTCTGCCCCACAACCATGGAGGCAGCACAAGCAGAAGGCACGCTGGCACAGGTGATGCATGCTGGCATGGATGCACAGAGCTGCCAAATTCCTCCTGGCAGCACCTGTTAAGGAATCCTAGTCATTTAGCTTAAATAAGTATGTTTTAAACAGAATGAGTCATTCAGAGTCGATCACTTAGCATTAGGATGCAGGGGTTACAGCATAAAGTTGAGCAATTTCGTACACTGTTTATTACTAACTTAGCATGAGGAGCTATGAGGAACTAGATTTGCTAAAGCCTTAGGTCTCAGCTGTGAACTTCCTCTTAGACATTTTTGTCTGGGCTACAGTTAATTTTCTTCATCATAGCTAATATGAGGCTATGTTTTGGATTTAATGTGAAAATAATGTTGATAGCATGTTTTAGTTGTTGCCAAGTAGTGCTTATCCCAAGTTTAGACCAACAGAGCGAGCAGGTGCACAAGAAGCACAAACCAGAAGATCAAGAAGCTACAACCACCAACAAGGTGAGAGCAGTCAACAGCCTGCCTGGAGGCAAAGAATCAAATAAGGTGTTAGAAGACCCCAGACCAGAAATCACCATTAAACCAAGAAGGGGTGTGAGAGGCAGGTATAGGGATTGTAATGGTATAATGGCCCAGGAATTCCTTTGTTAAGGGCCCCTCTCCAAGGCACTCAGCTCCAGCTGTTATTTTCACAGTACCATCTGAATAGATGATTTATTTTTTTCTATATAAGATACAATTCCTTGGACTCTCCAAACCTGAGGAAGTGAGAAGCACTCAAGGGTGAGAATGTGTGTGTGAAAGGAGTCGGAAGGGGCACCCACTGTCTCACTGGAGTCACGCGCTGTGAAGGGACTCCAGTTGGCTCCTGGGATGGTATATGAGTGCTTGAGTGGCCTCTCCTTTAACACTGCCCATCCACATTGCACAACACTGTCCCCAGCTCTGCTCCAATTGCCAAGCTGCAGAGTAAGTAAAACCTTAACCTTGACATTTTTCTAATCGGAGCAACAACCAAATGTACAAAAAACTAATCCTCCTCAGGGCGCACAGGCGTGCTGACAGCAATGTACTCACAGGTGCTTGTCAGCCTGGCCAGGCTTGGGCTTGCTACTACTAACACAAATTAGGATCCGCATCTCCCTCCCAACGCCCCAGAGATGTTAAGTCCAACACCATCAGGAAGGTAAGCAGCTGAAGGAAGAGTCTTCCCTCTGAACGTCTAAAGACTCATCGGAAAAGAAACCTGCACTCCCCAACTCAAGGGAATTCTCTTCCTCGCCCTCATACGCTTTTTTTTTCCCCCCTAATAAACATGTTGCCTTGGGTTTTTAAAAGCAGAATGCCACCACAGCCAAAATGTCCCACGTCCCATCATCATATTGGTATTGGGGGGACCAAGTCACTTCAACACAGACAGCTTTCCAGCCAGCAAGCACATGGGAACCTAGAGAGCATCACAGCCCCCCAACCTACAGAACAGCATTTCTCAGCTTCAAAAGGTCAGCTGACCGCGGAGCCACCGAAGAGGCGGCAATGAAACGGTCGCATTCTCATTATTCCACATACAGAAAGAGAACACAGGGCAGCTCATGCACCCTTGTATGAATAATGCTCTATCAAAACCAGCCAGGGTGAGGAGAGCAAGCAGAGTCCCATCCTCACTTCATAGTGGCCACAGTTTTTTATGCAGCATACAGCCAGCATGATTGTCCTCCCACTCCCACAGCAATAAATTCCAAGCACAGTGTCCTCCTGCACCACTGCCACACCAATATGGACATAACCTGCTGCTTCCGTCGTGGCTCTGAGCCAGTACAACAACTACCGTTGTTCAGAGCCCCGAGTATCCTTCAACATCAACCAAGCACCAGACTCAAATATGCCCTCCAACAGCAACTCGAGCATTATTCATCAGTGACAACTGCTTTTAAAGCAGCACATTGCCAGGAGAAGCACTGCAGGGCGGCACCAGTAATGCTCTCCACAAGCAGCCTGCCATAGGCAGAGCAGAGCAGATGCCCTACAGCAAGCCCTTGCCGAGGGCTCGGGAAGTCTATTTTGGGATCTCATATGTCAGTCGTTTACAAGTTGACATAGTTCCCGAAGCAAAACGGGAGAAGTCAGCACTGAAGCTCTCCTACAACACAATGAAGATGTCTTCAGGGCAGGACACATACTTCTCTACCTACACGCACGAGCAGCTTGCTCTTACAGATGCTTCTCTCTAGGGTGTTGCTCAGGTGAGCATGTGTTGCCCTTCAAACCACGAGGCACCAGAGTCCCAGTTTCCCATGAAACAATTTCCTAAGCAGAGCACAAACTATTCTAGCCCTCAGCAGGGTGAAGAAAAAACTTGTATCATTTACCCAAGTAAATACACCTACCTCCTTTTGAGAGGCATCAATTTCTCTGCACTCTTCTACTCTTTTCAGCACAGCTCGGGCATCAGAAAGGGCCTCAGAGAAAACACCTTCATATCGAAGAAAGAAATCTAGTTTACAGCTTTTGCTTTCTGCTGCTGTGTGAGAGAAACAAGATGAGTTATTTTCTAATTGAAGGGATTCACAGAAAGAATGATGTGATTGAAAGGCATCAGTTTGTAACCAGCACATTGGCTATAATAGGGAAACTGTGACTCACAAATCCCTTCTACAAGATCACACAGCCTGGAGGGAAAACCAACAGTTTATTTAACACCAGTTATAAATGGAACATTTCTTTTAAACCCAGCACAGTCTCTATTTTCCTCCCATGCTGAACAGGATTTTAAAGGATAAGGCAGACATTAGTAGGCAACTCTGTTCACTCACTGTTACACAGACTGCCTTACCAACCTCATGTCCTGCACTAACGCAGATCCCGCTCTACGTCAGATGTAATCGTGTGTGTGGGTAAGAAAAGTTTTGCTCGCTACGGCTCTGGTAAAGCGGTGAATCAATTGCAAAGGCCAAAGGAGAGTATTGCACAGTGCCAAAGGAAGAAATTCCCTGCAGAGAAGGGATACATGCTGCAGCTGCTCCCAACCCAGGGCAAACTAAAAAGAACAAACACAGAGGAAAAGACACCCCGTAAGAGAAAGTAAGAGGCAATGCTGTGCCCAGAACTGTAAAGTCTCACCTAAATGCCTCACTCCTCCTTTCTCCTCTGGAGGCTCAGCAAGCTCCTCTTCTGCACTGCCACCCTGCTCAGCACAGGAAGGATGATCAGGACAAGAGCTTGAATCATCCCGTAGGGTTCTGGAGTCACTCGGCATCGCATCCTGGTGAACCCAGGTGTGATTCATGGCAAGTTCCTGTCCAGGAGGAGAAACACCTGCTTCCATTTCTGCTTCTACAGGGCCAGGAGAAGGGGCAACCCTCTGAGGAAGGAGGATATCTGTTTTTCCTTCAACGGGTTGTTCAGACTGGGGCACGTTATTAGCTTCAGCATGATTTCCAGATGAGTTGGCGGCCTGGACGGAGACTTCTTGCACTACCGTGTCCTGAGTCGACCACTTGATGAGGTCCCTGAGGAGGTTTTTGCAACTAACAGCCACATCAAACATCTGCAGACTATCTGCCACGGAGATTACTTTGGTGAAATTGTGTTTCCCCAGTGGGAGTTTGCCACTGTACATCATCTCCAACAAAAGCACAAACTCCTCAGGGTTCACAACAGAAGTATCAATGGAGATGGTGTCTGTGCTGTCCAACAAGGATTTGAAAAGCAGGCTGGCAGCAGCTAAAACCACCTTGTGTGCTCTAAAATGAACGTTCCCAATGAAGATGGTGCAATCGCAGAACTGCTGCTCTTTGCAGAGAGCGTACAGCTGCTGCAGCAGCTGCTTGTTGTAACTGGGGAGCTCCATGGCACCACAGTCTACTGGCCTCCTTTCACCGTGGTCTCCACACAGCTTTCAAAAAGCCTACCTAGCAAAAAACCCCAAAGGATTCTGTTAGAACTTTGCTTAGATAGTAGCAAGACAGAACAAAAAAGCAAAAATTACTTTTCAGTTTACACCTCCTAGAACCTTACTATGCTGCAGTTCATTGGTTACAGCAAGGAGAGGTCTGCTTCTGAACTCGCACTCCCCAAAATGAGCAACTCACCCCCCTAGAGCTGAAGAGTCTAGATACTGTTGAAATATAAATGCTCCAGAAAGAGCTTGGAAATGAGTACTGAGTCCCAGGGGTTATAAAAAGGGAGCAGAAACTCCCTGATGTGCCCCCGATGGAGCTCAAGGAGGTATGAATGCTCTTCAGATCAGGCACTGCAGTGCCAGGCTCCGCCTGCATCCAGAAGCTGATGCTGAATTCAGCAGCTGATTTCTGAAAGGGCAGGTGGGGAAGCAGTGCAGCAGGAAGACCTGCCCAGACCATCAAGCAAACACAGGAGAATCTAAAGTGTTAGTCTTGACCTGCAAAGCACTAAGTGGTTTGGGACCGGTTAATTTTTTCCCCACATCACTGCCAAGATCAGCAGGGGCATGCAAGCATTAGACAGAGGTTTGCAACCCAGGACCTTCAGCACCTCCCTTGTCAGCACACCACAGTCCTAACTCATCAATTTACAAGTATCTTCCCCAAGCTTTAATTTCTTGCAGAAGTCCACAGCCCTAATCCCATCTACTAGAGCCCCCTTTTTACGTTTTCATTCCCCCATTGCAGGAGGGAGAAGAGATAGGACATCTGCCAACAGAATTTTTATCAGTGGGATATCCAGGTTTTTTAACTAAGTTAGACAACATAAAGATGTTACTGCCTTGTCTACACACTAGGGTGCCTAACAGTGGTGCTGGCAATGATACTGAAACAAAACAGTATCAGCATTAGAGGAAGAGCACCTGGATGGACACGATTTACGTGACCTTCAATTGCTTAACATCTCTGCCCTCAGCATCCTACTGCCTTGTAGAGAACTGGAGTAATACTGCCTGTCATCAAGGCACAAGCTTTAATGAGCCGATGCTCATACACAACTTTGAAGCACTGCCTCACACGAAAGCTGGCTTGGAGCAGGTTCCAGCTTACACCAAACTGCAAGCAGATGCTGAGTGTAGGCTGAGCTGGCATCTTACTCCTGCAAGGTGCCAAGCCCTCTGGAGTTCAGACTCTGTGGGAAGCAGGACTTCCTGCCCACAGGGCAGGCAGGACCCCAGCTGCCCTTCTGCATGGCACTGCCTGCGGTGGCTGCAGGAAGTCAGGGGGAGCCAAGAGCCGTCACTTCATACAAAGCTATAGATGGCTGAGCAACTGGATGGTGGATACCACTCACATGTGAGAGCTCTCCTGCTCCACCAAAAGATCAAGTACTATGTTACTTGCTTTTCAGTCATCAGAATACGATCACAGATGGCTCTGACATCACCTCAAAGCACAGGTGTCACGCTCTCCATCTGAAGACCTTTGAAGCAAGAGCACAGGGTAGGTGGGTCCTTTTCTGGAAGGCAAGGAAACCTAAGCAGTTGCTGACACCCCACTCTCCTACTTCCCAGGAGCTGGAGCTTCTCCAGGTGCTTCGTTACCAAAGGCTGTCTGGTCTGCAGCTCATCTCTGCTACTCTGCAAGTACCACAGCCATGCCCTCACCTGTGCAAAGGGCCAGCCACCTGCACTTCCAGCCTATTAAATACACCGGCTCTGCTATCCTCCCACACCGTTGTAAATCATGAGTAACCAGACTGCTATCAACAGAGCTGCTGCTGGTCATGGGAGAAGAGAGAGACACAGTTCTTTTGCCAGGCTCAATGTAATAGCAGTTTTAGTCCACCCACTACTCCTCTTGAGCTGAAGGACTTCCAATATCTGAGATGAAATTGGGTCTGCTGGTTAAATAATAACAGCTGTGGCTCTTCCTACAAAAGGACAAGCAGGAAACATCGATGTCCTCAAAGAGATGTCTGCTCACTTTGCCATGAACAGGCTTCTGCATAAAATCTATCACTTCCACTGGAAGAAGCATCAGCACTGTCTGCTCCATCTATTCCTGTCAAGAATATGTAAGATATATTTGCCCATGACAGCTCAAAACAGTAAACCTCTGAGCAGCCTAGCAGCACCTCCCCTTCTTTATTACAGCTACTCAGTGCACAGGAAGATGTGTCCTGTGCAATTAGATCAGACGTATTTGTTTAAATACATTTTACTTCTTTAATTATAGGGACCCAAACATGCAGCACTGCCAAAGGGAACAGAATTTTTTTTTTTAATGAGGGGTGATGGCTAAGACCACCTTCAAGGCAAATGTCCGCTACTCAAAACACACTTCAGGCTTTTATTCAAAGCTTATGGCCAGAAGAGACTACTACCAGCAATCTGATTTCTCATCCGTCACTGCCTCCTGGATTTCTGGACTCAGTAACTTGGGTTTGGCTAAACCTTTTCTTCCAGCAAGGTGCCCAGTCGTGATAAGAACTGATTTTTAGGGGGAGGACCCTGCACTGCCATAGTTACTCTGTTAAATTACATGCCTCATTTCTTACCCAAATTTGTCTGGCTTCATTTCCCCGTCATCTTCTAAATGGTTTTTGGGAGATTTGGCTGGGGGATTAGGCTGAAGTAGGAATCTCTCTCAGAGCAGGTAACTAACACTTCAGCAGCAATGAGTGCTTACAGAGCATGAGCCATCTGCCTCTGCCAGCACCACTGGTAAGAAAAAGCCATTTGTTTCCAGCTTAAAGCTGCTTCTCTGCATCCTCTCTGGAGCCAGGGTCACTGGGGTTTTTTATGAATTTCAAACTTAAAGTAAGTGGGCTCCTTCTGGGGGCTCTGACACCTGAAATGCAAGAGCGCTGCCCTAATCCAAAATATTGGCTCACTTGAATCAGAAGCGGGGACAGAGGAGACATACTTGCTCATCTTGGCTGTCCTCCAGATGGGTTTTACAGAAGAATCTTTTGAGGAACATCAAGGGACATCTTAAGCCTCATCCTGCCAGCTTCCCATGGTGAACGCCAAGGCATCTTAGGACTTTTCATTCAACTGTCTTCAGTAAGACCATGAAGTCAATCAGAGTCACATTTCAAAAGTGCCTAATATTCCTAAGGCTCTACTCGACCATGTGTTGATAAATGTCCTCCTGTTCATCCTTAAGCAGCAGTTATCACCTGGGACTGCTTTCACAACACCCCCTTCAGCAAAGCCGCCCCTTCTTCTTCTCAACCTCACAGGTACACGAGGTCCAGAAAAGGTCTGCACCACACACTACCCTCCACTGTCCAGTTCCATCTCTTTCTTCCTTTTCCCAGGCACTTCTGTCTTCATACGCCACCACAGTTCAAGGGGATCATGTCTTTTTCCTTATGCTACATTAGAACAAGAAAAGGATACATCGATAGCAACTTCTTCACAGAGGAATCAGGAACATAGAATTCTATCTACATAGCTGAAAAGGAGTTTCCAAATTAAATTATTTCTCTTCATTTTTCATACAATTACTTCAACCCAGATTCAACAGATTCCAAAGCCATCCACGTCACTAGGTTCATCAAAACGTAATCGCAATTTAGGACTGAGCACTTCAGCAATTACAGAGATAGGTGCTCCGAAGACACACAGATGAGACCATCCCTCCCTTGCAGTTACGAGGCTGCCGCTGCCTTAGCAAAAGGACTCTGTATGCCATGTACTGCCATAATTAAAGGCTTTTGCAAGGTGCTGGTCAACACACCTGCTGGCATTAATAAAATAGCACCAAAAGCTACTTCCTCCATTGGTTAGTATCATCTAATTATGATACTAATCAATGCAGCTTGAAGATACATTCCATGCCTTAAGTTCTTCCTTGGGATGCACATGTAGCAGGCTTTTTTTTTTTAGCTTAAAAAAAAAAAAATAGTGCTGCACTGCCAAGAAATTAAGCACTATCATCACAGTGCTTTTTAAAGGCACAAACCCGCAGCCTTGTGCTCCCTCTGCTGCCAGCACAGCGCAGCACAGCGCTATGCATAGCCGGATCACGAAGCTTAACAAAAGCAACTTGCATATCCGGTGCGAAAATAGAAGCAAGCAATTCCAGTGCAACCTCTAAAGAGCTAAAACAAAGCAGGTAGAAAAAAACCAAAGTGGTCAGAAAGAGAAGCAAAATGGAAGAATGCATCCTTTCTGTAGTGCCACTTGCGTTATAGCTGACTGGAGGGTCTCACAGGAGCAGGTCAACACCGCTCCCTGCCCTCTTAGCTTTCTGCTCACGGGAGCTGCAGTCCGAAGTAATCACCGAGGCAAGCCTACTCAGCCCAGGAAGGCTCCCTGCCCCTGTGAGAGAAGCTCACCCCATCCCTGCCCATTTTGCACTTACTCAAAGGCTCGCTTTGAAAGGCTCGTGTAAATCAGTAAATGCAGCAGGACAGAAAGCGGATTCATTCTCTCGTGTTCCTTGGCCCTGCAGTCCCTCGGGCATGACAGCAGCCTCCCAGCAACTTTCTACTTTTAGCTCTGAGGAGTTAAGGACAGTGACAGCCTTAAACCAGAATCTGAATACTTTTTGTGCATGCTTCTTGTTACTAAGATGACCTTACAAAGAGGAAAGCCAGAAAATCATGTACTGCAATTCAGTTTTCTTACCTCTCCCACCCAGAGTAATTCAGTCTTTGAAGTGTTGAAAGAGGCTGAGGGGTCAATTACCTTTCTCTGGGGTGCTCCAAAGGTCCAGAGCAGACAGCTCTCCCAGGGGATAATGTAAAATCCACTACAAGGGGCCAGGGCACACCAATTGGTTTTTCAATCTCTTTTATTTCAGTTCAGAGCATCAGTGCAGGCAGATAACAGAGGAAAATAAGCAACGCTTTAACTAAATTCAGATCTCTGTGGTCTCTAAAGGCAGCAGAATATACCTCTCAAAAAACATGCAACACTTCAGCTATCTGTCTGCA